TCACCTATAAGCTGTGGAACTGATGATTCTTTAGACCCTTTTTTGCTTTTTTGCATTTCGGTCCAAAATGTGCTACCCAGAGTAACTACCGGGTCCGTATCCTTGCATCAAGGGCATTAACTGGTTTGGTATCTAACGAGAGACTGCAGTACGTTGTTAGTGATATACTGGATAATTTACCTCATGGAAATCACAAAGCAATGGCTCACAGTGTTCAGCGTACTGATTCTGCCGTATCAGCTAATATAGGAAATGGAAATGTACTTCTGCTTTCTAAGTCATTCAATTCAATCCATGGCCTTTTGCTGCAGCTGGCTTCTCTTATGGATAACAACTTTAGAGGTTTGACAGACGGTAGCATGAAGGATCAGATTCTTGGCCTACTACTGGAGGTTCTCTCAAGATGTTCTTGGCTTGGCTGTACGAAATTATGCTCATGCCCTGTCGTAATTACATCTTACTTGCGGGTATTGGATCTCATGCTTGATGTTGCAAGGACAGGGAAAAGCAGACATACTGAAGTCATTCAGGCATTGCTGCTAGAGTTAAGTTCCCAGTGCTTGAGCAACACAGTATCAACCCAGTACGCATTCCATGATCCAACCCTTATTGAACTAAAACAGCAAGCAACTGAATCATTTTTGAGCTGTGTTGGTCTTTCTAAGAAAAACGATGAGACTAATGATGAAGATGTGCAGTTGCAAATACTTGGTGAACCAACTTCAGAGATGCCTAGAGAGGACTACTCCCTTCATAAAGTACACAAGGAGATTATGTCATGTCTCACTGGTCCTTCATATGATGTTAGAATTACAGTGCTGAAGAGGATACTTTGGCTCACAAAATCAATCAGACATGGTGATGTAGAAAACATTTTGCACCAGTGGGCAGGAGTTAATCTGCAGCCTGCTTTAATGGAACGGTTATTTGTGGAAGAACACCCTAAGTGCCTTTATTATAATCTGAAGATCATCTTTTCATGGAACATGAAATTCCCATTTAACAATGAAGAAGATTCTAGCACACTTTTGTCCTTGTGGGACAGGTTAGTTCATTTAAACAGCACCATGTCACATGCAAAAACCAGAGAAATAGTTCTATGTTGCATGGGTATGTGCATGAAACTGTTCACTAAACTATCTGGGGGTGGTGTTTCAATGAATTGTCTCAAGACCAGTGAGATCTCTGCATCCTATGTCCAAATCAATGAAGGGAATAGATTATCTGATGCCATGCTTAGAGTAAACTTGTTTGTCACTCTTGTCAAGAACCAAAGTGAACCATCGGAAAGTGTGAATGCTCGGCGGGCTGCTGCTGAGGCAATTGTTGCTTCTGGTCTTCTTGAAGAAGCAAACTACGTTGCTTCATCTGTGTCCAACATGTCCTCTCCTTCAGAATTTGATGAAGGCCGTATCAAAGAGAAATGCATGGAAGCTAACGTTTTTGCCTTTATCAGTCTTTATACATGCAAGATACTTGACTTATGGTTTGTATGTATTCAGTTGCTGGAGGATGAGGATGCCTATCTGAGACAAAAACTTGCGAAGGATATTCAGAAAATAATCGCTAAGGGTTCAGCTAATACCTTCTGTGATGATTCCACACCACTACAAGTTGATAGAGTCATTGAATTAAGCTTGGACTATTTAACTTCTTTATTTGGCCACTGGCAGAAATACATTGAATTCTTGTTAAGGATAGTCTTGGACACTGGAAACACTCTGAACTCCTGTGGCGATTTGGTCCGTCAGATATTTGATAAAGAAATAGATAACCACCATGAGGAGAAGCTATTGATATGTCAAATCTGCTGTTCGAATATTCAGAAACTTTTGCATTCAAAATGTCAGATGGAAGCAGGAGCAAAAACTAAACTGTTCCTGCAGAATTGGAGGGAGACCTTTTTAAACCAGCTCACATCACTGACTGGTGGCTATCTTGAGAAAGAGGGGAAGAACAATTGGATTGGCGGCATAGGTAACCACAAGGACGTGTTCATATCAGTGTATGCAGTTCTGCTAGGCTTATATGCGCTCACGCAATCTGGTTCTCTGGAACAATTAGAGGACAACCGTGCAATTTATTTGCAAGAATTTTCAAACCTTGAAGGGTTTATCACACCATTCCTCAAGAATCCTTTGATTTCTAATCTTTACGCTCTGGTAAAATTATCACATGAGAGGTTCAGATCATCAGATAAGCCAGAGGACCAAGTGGGTAGTTCAGGATCAAGTTTTGACCCATATTTTCTCATCAGATGATTTTTGCTAATGTAATAGTAATTCTTCATTGTTATTCCTCTGTTGTGAGACTCGATAATAATTGCTTTTTATACAAATTGCCATTCTACAGATTCTTTTCTTGATGCGCCTTGTTTGTGTGTACCATTACATTTTACATGTTTTGAATTTTATAGCCACTCTGAAATGCCATTTGCTTCAGTTCAGGAGATTGTAGTTGATGTGGAAATGGAGGCCAATGTTTGTCTGCTAAAGAGAGAAACCAAGAAACATGCCCTTTTTTCTTTAATACAAGAAATTGTTTGTTACAAATATTGATAATGCCCTTATATATGTTACAATTGGCACGTCTCTCCTTTGTAAAAAAATTGGCTACGGTGTGCTACTCCTTTTGAGATACAATTCCAACTGCACAGCTGGGGGGTGGAATGTAGCACAGCTTGTACAAAGGAGATGCTTTCTGCAGAGGACACATGAGCTTCCTGCAGAGGACCTTGCGATGTCGCACACATGAGCTTCCTGCAGAGGACCTTGCGATGTTGCAGCAAACCATTTTCTAGAATTTGGGCCTGCTGTTCTGAATTTGCCTGTCCACACCCATCGGCTTGTTGATGGTTGAATTGGGTCTGTGAAGCCTGCTCGCACCCACACGGTGATGGTTGAATTGGGTCTATGAATCGGTTTGGTGACGGTGATGATTGAATTGGGTCTATGAATCGGTTTGGTGATGGTTTGGTGACGCTGTCCATTAAAAGAGGTCGTCCTTATCGGCTGAGATGACCTGCACAGCATGAGAGGTTGAAATTATATTTTTTCATGATTGAAAGTGCATTTTTGTGAAACCATTCATGTCGGTGTGGACTGATGGGATAGTAATGGGGCAAACCTCGCAAAAGTGTTCCTTTGGATAGCAGATTGCAATCTTGCTCGACTGCAACACAGAATTAGACTGTGTCAGAAATAGCAACTTCTATTTATGATCATAATACCAAGAGTAACCATTACTTGTCAGCCTCCATCCTAGCCTTTTTCAGCATAGGGCTCTTGTAGCTGCAATTGGATAGACTGCTAGGTCCACTTCCTGCAAGAATATAGGCTAGATTAGTACGGGAAATAACTGAGTGGACAGAAAGTTCAGCAGAAGCAGAAGCAGAAACAGGAAATCACCTCCAAAGAAACTTCTTTTGCTGCTTGGAGGCACCTTTGTACAAAGTTTAATTTGTTTGCTTTTTTCTCTGCATAGGATTTAGAGGAAGAGAGTATTAGTGACATTCTGTTGTACTGACAGTAGGCTAAAAACTCTCAAAAGTCAAGGCCGCCGTATGTAATGTGTATTCTCCCAATGAAACTGGGCTGAGTCGGTCAAAGTACAACTAATTTAACTCCACAATAAAGCTAAGACTTACAAGCTTTCTCTGCCTGAAACTGCTTTGTGAATTTCTCAACCATCTCATCTTCAGCTTGCTTCTGTTTCTTTTTTCTCGCCTACAACAGGAACCAAGTTAGTACAGGGCGAAGATAATTTATTGCAAACAAACATAAAACCCCCAGCAACCAATTATGGAAGCATATCAGAAGTACTGGCAAATGAATGAAGAAAGGAACAGAATTTTACCGCGAAGAGCTCCCACCATGTGTATTTCGCATCTGGCCTATGGCCTGTTCGCTGGTTGGTGCTGGTGCTGGTTTTTGTGAGAGAAAAACACTGTTGGCTGGCTGGTTTGGGCTGGCTGAAACCACCAAGCGAACAGACTGGTCTCCTTCAGCGCCTTGAGTCTTGCGATAACTTTGTTCGTATGCTCCTGACCGAATTCTTGATAATAGAATCGTTTCCACAGCGGATCAGTTACGAGAAAATTGGCTATTTGCCATTCCAAACAATGGGCTTCACAAAATTGCCATCCAAAAGATTGACTTCGCAAAATTGCCAACCTAAACATGTATACTTTGTTTTTATTGCCATAATCCATATTTAGCTCCTTTGTTTTTTTTTTTGGATTGTCCTCCACGCGAAAAGACATTTCTGCCCTTGGCTGCCGGGCGGATCACCCTTCGCACCTTGGCTGCATCAGACGTCAGGCAGATCAGCTGATATCCGAATCTAATGGCCTGCATGCTTCTGTACGAGCTACTGTGCATGCATATGGCCGGTTTTTGAAAAAAAAACAATCAGGTGGACAATATAATTAGAATACATGCACGCATATGTCTGTCACACAAATTCATAAATTGAGAATAAAATGAGTTCACATCCGAATCCATAAGCTGAGTATAAATGAGTTCATCTCACACATGCATAAATTGAGCCTAAAAACACAGATATTTGATTTTCACTCAAAAGTTCAATTCTTCCTTCCTCATCGTGTGACTCTACTATCTGCAAGTTGTCCCAGTCAACTTGTGGTATAGGATCATCAACCTCCATATCAAACCTAAACCAAATATCGTTTGCGAGTTTACATTCGGCGACGCCGCATCCACCACGAGGGGACTTTTTCGGACCGGTGGGGCGTGGGACATTGGGGCTGCATCTAGCTCGCCGAAGCGTCTACGGCCGCTGCTTGACAAGATGAGCGCGCTTGCTGTCGGGGCCGCGAGGTCGCTCTAAGTTCCACCGTGGTCGTGCCGATGGCCGCCGAGGTCGCTCCGAGTTCCTCCATGGTCGTGCCGACGGCCACCGTGGTCGCGGCAAGCGCGGGTGGACGGCGTGGCGGCCCTGAGCACGGGTGGTCGTGTGGCGGCGGCGAGCGCATCCGCCGGCGGTGCCATGTCACGGCCGCCCTGCATCGTGGACGTCTAGGGCACGCGAGCTGCGGTTCTTCGTTTGCGAGTGGTTTCGTACGATGCGAATAGTCTCGATCTCATCTCTTCACGTCAATTAAGCAGAAGGGCAACAATGTCTTTTCGCATGAAAGGATTCCCAAAAAATATTAACAAAGCAACTAAATAGGGAGTATGGCAATAAAATCAAGGTACACATGTTTAGATTGGCAATTTTACGAAGTCAATCTTTCGGATGGCAATTTTGCGAAGCCCATTGTTTGCAATGGCAAATAGCAAAAAAATTGGCTATTTGCCATTCCAAACAATGGGCTTCACAAAATTGCCATCCAAAAGATTGACTTCGCAAAATTACCAACCTAAACATGTATACTTTGTTTTTATTGCCATAATCCATATTTAGCTCCTTTGTTTTTTTTTTGGATTGTCCTCCACGCGAAAAAGACATTTCGCCTTAATTTGCCGGGCGGATCACCCTTCGCACCTTGGCTGCATCAGGCGTCAGCGAGATCAGCTGATATCCGAATCTAATGGCCTGCATGCTTCTGTATGAGCTACTGTGCATGCATATGGCCGGTTTTTGAAAAAAAAACAATCAGGTGGACAATATAATTAGAATACATGCACGCATATGTCTGTCACACAAATTCATAAATTGAGAATAAAATGAGTTCACATCCGAATCCATAAGCTGAGTATAAATGAGTTCATCTCACACATGCATAAATTGAGCCTAAAAACACAGATATTTGATTTTCACTCAAAAGTTCAATTCTTCCTTCCTCATCGTGTGACTCTACTATCTGCAAGTTGTCCCAGTCAACTTGTGGTATAGGATCATCAACCTCCATATCAAACCTAAACCAAATATCGTTTGCAGTTTATGGTCGACGCCGGTGCATCCACCACGAGGGACAGACTCGGACCCGGTGGGGCGTGGGACATTGGGGCTGCATCTAGCCTGCCGAGCGTGTCGGCCGCCTGCAGCAAGATGAGCGCGCTTGCTGTCGGGGCCGCGAGGTCGCTCTAAGTTCCACCGTGGTCGTGCCGATGGCCGCCGAGGTCGCTCCGAGTTCCTCCATGGTCGTGCCGACGGCCACCGTGGTCGCGGCAAGCGCGGGTGGACGGCGTGGCGGCGCTGAGCACGGGTGGTCGTGTGGCGGCGGCGAGCGCATCCGCCGGCGGTGCCATGTCACGGCCGCCCTGCATCGTGGACGTCTAGGGCACGCGAGCTGCGGTTCTTCGTTTGCGAGTGGTTTCGTACGATGCGAATAGTCTCGATCTCATCTCTTCACGTCAATTAAGCAGAAGGGCAACAATGTCTTTTCGCGTGAAAGGATTCCCAAAAAATATTAACAAAGCAACTAAATAGGGAGTATGGCAATAAAATCAAGGTACACATGTTTAGATTGGCAATTTTACGAAGTCAATCTTTCGGATGGCAATTTTGCGAAAGCCCATTGTTTGCAATGGCAAATAGCCAATTTTCTCGATCAGTTACCGAGCTAAGATCCATCTGTTCCCACAAGGGCAGCCACACAGATACGCATGCATTGCAGTCACAACGATCCAATCTCCAAGGAAGAATTTGAGAACAATGCAGGGCTAGTAGCAAGAGAAGCAGAAGCTATGGAAATTGGCTTACCTTGGTGTTCTTCTCGATGTTGGTGAGGTGCTCCAGCGTGCAGTGCGGCAGGATGCGCTTCAGCAGATCCATCTCGACGCCGTCCACGCTTTCCATGTAGCGGAGGTTGTCGATGGCCTTCCGGACGCACAGCCCCAGAAGGCTCAAGGGCTTCTTCCTCCCGAACTCCATCCTTTCCTTTCCCTCGCAATCGGCCGAAGACGAATGTCTTAATCCGCCGAACCAGGGCCAGGGGTAGACGTACGGATTGGATTAGTAGCAACCCACCGTGAAGCAATAGAATCCGACACGATCTGATGGAGAGGACAGAGAAAGGTTTCGATTTGATTCCTCGCTCGCGGCAGGTGGGAAAGATCAAGAGATTCTATATCCTATGGAACGGAATTCGTTGAGCAAAAGAAAAAAAAATGGTAATCCACATCCGCCGAAGTGAGGCTGGGCATCTTACCGAGGAGAGAGGTCCGAGTCCGAGCTTGGCTGGATGGGCGTCCTCCTCTCCGCTCCGATCAGAGTCCGACCAGATTGGGGAGAGAGGAGGACGGCGACAGGGAGGAGGAACTAGAAGAAGAAGCTGTTCTGTTCGTCGATGAGGTTGGCTGGCATGACGTCAGATGCGGGTCTGGTGGACCATGGGCCGGTGTGACCCGAGGCAGATTGGCCGGCCCATGAACTGGGATTTTGCGGGCCGGATTAATCTCGCAAATCAGGCCACTTGACACATGACACCGTCCACGGGGAGTGGATCTGTTGGGATTCATGAGTCTCAAAAAAAAAAAAAATCTGTTTGTATTCATTTATAGGATTTTTTTAGTTAATCCTGCGTTTCTCGTACGAAAATGAATGGACTTTTACAAAATATATCTGCATTTTTTATAAAATTCGAAATTGGCACATGTTAATAGTCCTCCACAAGCTAATCTCCTTTCTTAATAGCAGAAATGCTAATAGTATCTTCAGCCTGTTTGGTTGGCTGGTTCGTATCGTTGCTGGTTCGTTTATGTGAGAGAGAAGTACTGCTGGCTGGTTCAGATGAACAGTATTTTTGTGAGGGGCGGCATTGCCACCAAAATTTCAACAACCAAATGAACAACACGACGCTTATCACTAGCAAAAGTGCTCTTGTGTTGCTAGGATGAAACTACTATCGTGAGGATGATTTTACCCTCACGAGGCACCTACAAGTAATATTTAAGTAACATTAATATTAAATGTTGCAATTTAAGGAGTTGGGATGTCAATGGGGGCGGATTCGGTTTCGGCTCCAAACCTGAAACCCGAACTCAAAACTCAAAACCGCCCTGAATGTCGATTTGGATGACACTCCAGCCCCACCCGGTGGATCCCCGAAATCCGATTGGTTCCCCGAAACCAACCACTACGTGATAATACAATAAAAGCAATAAGAAATTTCTAACAACAAATGCATGATATGTATAACATATTTACATGTATAACAAGAGGTAAGAAAACATTCAATTCCATGACTCAAGTTAGAACAAGCAGAATAGCTTATAAAAACAGTTTATTAATAAAAGACATGAGTTTTTATTCAAAAGGATCTATTTCGGGCCTCTATTGGGCATCCGTGGGTAGACACCAAAACCCGAAACCCAACGGTCTCCGAACATAAAAACCATGGGGAAAATCGCACCCGTACCCGCCGGACCCAGAAAAAAGGCCCTGACCCGAAACTGCTCCACTGTCATCCCTACACTAAATAGAAGACATTTTTATTGAACTATGCAACAAACATTAAAAAAGTTGTTCCTTTTCAGACATGTAGAGAAAGAACTTAATTTTTAAAACCAAGTGTCTATGGAATGCAAAAAAAAAACTAGAAGTGTTATTTCAGAATTCATGGGACCAGAATTTTACTCTGTATATCGTGCTTATTATATAGAAAGAAAGAAAACACAAAGGAGAGAAAAAATAGAGCCGCAAGACCACCACGCGCTCTCTGCCCTGTTTCTCCACCCACCCCAGCCCTCCTCATGCGTCTCTCTCCACTGTCTCACCACGCTCTCTTGCTCTCTGCATCGCTTCTCGCTACCAGTTCAATTGCACGCACCACCAGCCATGAGCCATGACCAGGCCAGGAATGAACACAGAAATAGATCCCTCTCTTCTTCTCTGTTAACTTTATGGAGCTACGGCGGGAAAAAACAAAATATATATAGGCCACAGTAAAATTATGCTCTAGCTAATTCGAGCTAGGGGGTTGCAATTCTGCAATTTTTTGAAGGAAACATGTCAGTTAGAATCAATGCTAAAAACAAAAAAAGAACAAAAATATTTCCATTGCCGGGATTTGAACCCGGGTCGCTCGGGTATCCTAACCGGACTAGACGACAATGGATCTGTGCGTTATTCTAATAACGTACATATCTGACATGGTAGATCTTGTGTAACGGCAGCTCCAGTCCTGCCTCGGACGAAACAGCACTTCTTGTCAATATATAAGAAAAACAAACGCCATAAATTTAGATTTGGACTCGGGCTCGCTAACTATAGCCTTGTGTGTACTACTTCTATTTTAAATTATATGATGTTTCTATTAGTTTTTCTAGATAGGTAGGTTTTAATATACACTATATCTAATGTCTTACAATTTAGAGCCGAGAGCATTTATAGAGGCCACAACAATAACATATATACCAAAATAATAAAAAGGAAGGAAATCATTGGCAAGGACCCTGTCGGTGCAGAAAGTGACCAACACGTAAATATTTGTAGTTTTGCCGTACGTTGTGATCGGAGGTGGCCTAGCACTCAATGACACAGGGTTTATACTGGTTTAGGCAACGTGCCCTATGTCCAGTTTGAGTCGGTCGGTGACTTTATTCCTGAGCCCAGATGCTCGAAGTTTGCACTGGGGTTACAAACGAGAAGGAGAAAGTTTGCAGTGGGTCGTACAAGAGGTCCGGTCGGACTCCGGCCGGAAGGGCCGAGAGTGACGGGAGCTCCGCTATGAGCTAAGTGTTCAAGCGTGTGCTTTGAATCTGGTGGTTCTGTTGTTGTGTGCTAATGAACTTGATCGATCTAATGAATCTGAATCAACTGAGTCTTTTGGGAGAGAGTGCATCCCCTTTTATAGATGAAGGGGATAGCTTTACAAGTGAGAGGGAGAGAGTACGTATGCTACTAAGTCTTGTTGCCCACGCGCAGCGGGTACAAGATGATGGTAGGCGCCCACAATACTGTTGAATGTCAGATGCACATGGGAGGTTGTGTTGTCTTCTTCGGGTATGGCAGACGTCGGCGCGTGCCATACTGTTGATACCCGGAGGTTGCAAGGGGTTTTACCATGTTCGCTTGGTACGATAAATGTCGGCACCCACAACACTGTCGATGCCCAGAGACATGTGGGGAGAGCCTTACCGTATGGGAGCTAATGACGCGCCATAATACTGTAGGAGAAAATATCGGCGCCTACAACACTGCTTGGGTTCTGTCGTGCCAGGGAGGTCGCAGAGCACGGTTTCTGCAGGTATATAGGGTACGGTCCCTGGTATTGTGGTTTGACTTGTGCGCCCTGCCTTACTTTCTCCGTCCGTTTCCTGGTTCTTACCGAGCGGGCGTCCCCGGTCGGTTGGTCCTAGTCGGCTCTGATCGCGTCAGTCGGAGAAGAGCGGTGAGCAGGAGTTTGGCGCATCCCCGGTCGGAAACGCGGGTCGGAGTCGGAAGCGGTGTTTGGCCAGGCCTTCCGGACGGAGAGACCGTCCGGAGGCGGGTTGGAGACCGAAGCGAGCGCTTTGGTCGGAGAGGTGGGCCGGAGTCTGAAGCGGGCACCGGCTCCTCGGCCAGGCCTTCCGGTCGAAGATTTGGATCGCCCTTCTAGCTTGTCGTTTAGGTAATTGGGTCGGCCCATGAGTTGCGCGTTGTCTGTTTGGACTAAGCCTTTGCTGGGAAGCTGGTCCGCGAGGGACCCCAGGTTTATGAACCCGACAGACCCTTTGTTCTTTCATCTCGGTATCGCCCATCAACCACCCAAAATAGATTGCTAGACCTAGACCATGCGTGATTCCCAGTCGTCCAACAAAGCAGCTTTGGATTAATGTAAGGTGCATGATCGAGGGCAAAGGACAATGCAAAGTTGCTTAGATAGACTTAAAGAGAGAGCATATATATCCTACATCATCAAGCATCTACTAATCTACAATACAATGAGAAAGTTTCTTAAAAATGCTTAATTACTTTGGAACCTCTCCCACAACGCTGAACAGACAGATGGAGCAGTAATCATTCAGCACTTTTGGGGCATCGACGCTTGTGGCCGGGTTCCAAGCTAGCACCCGACGAGTGCCGCTGCTTAGTCAAACGTCAATACTCCGTATGTCCGCGAGCGCTCGGACAAGTTCCAACAAAATGGATTTTAACTCAAGCGGCTGCCACATAATAGCGTTTTTTTACACCTCTCATCTGGATCTGAATACAGTTGCAGCATCTGCATGTATACAAATACACACCAACACTACATACAGGCCCAACTCACTCACACCACCTGTATACAACTGGACATACAACTATACACATATTCGAAAACGTGTCCTTAACGGACGCGTCGTAGTCCTTGTAGGACCACACGCTGCACTGAAATTTTATTCTGGGCAAAAACCTTGGTGAGCACTCGAGGCTCGAACGCGGGTGGACATCGTCGCACGCTGCGAACTTACCAACGGCGCTACGCGCGGTCCTCGCCACACAATAGCGTTGTACATGCCTTCGAGCTCCATTTTGGCGAGGATCTTCTACATTGTGGCGATGCATCCATTGGTGCGGCACTTGCACTCCATCCGCCCCTGCTTATATTCCCTCCACCCTGCAAAGGTGCTACTCGAACTCCACCATAATGGTTGTCGACTCTGAGGGATTTTTTTTTTATTTTAGCAAAAAAAAAGTATTTTAAAAGGGTACTGACCCAAACTAAAATTTTGGAACAGCTCGTCACAACAAGGTCATGGCGCAACTCGCAGCTGCAATCATGCTGCTTGCATTGGCGTGGCTAAATGAACACACTGGTGGTGTCGTCGATAGCATTTTTCACGTGTGTGCTGCGCCATATTTCGGTGATCCAAAATAGAGAACATATAGAGTGACCTAAAAAAATGTTGTAGTTTTTTTACACAGATGTTAAAATCAAAGACGACCCATTTTGCCTAGATTTGGTATCA